AGATTATTAAAGAACAAAGATTATTAATGAACAAAGATTATTAAAGAACAAATGTTATTAAAGAACATGATTATTAAAGAACAAAGATTATTAAAGATCAAAGATTATTAAAGAGCAAAGATTATTAAAGAACAAAGATTATTAATGAACAAAGATTATTAAAGAACAAAGATTATTAATGAACAAAGATTATTAAAAAAACAAAGATTATTAAAGAACAAAGATTATTAAAGAACAAAGATTATTAAAGATCAAAGATTATTAATGAACAAAGATTATTAATGATCAAAGATTATTAATGAACAAAGATTGTTAAAAAACAAAGATTAAAGAACAAAGATTATTAAAAAACAAAGATTATTAATGAACAAAGATTATTAAAGAACAAAGGTTATTAAAGAACAAAGATTATTAAAGAACAAAGATTATTAATGAACAAAGATTATTAAAGAACAAAGATTATTAATGATCAAAGATTATTAAAGAACAAAGATTATTAATGAACAAAGATTATTAATGAACAAAGATTATTAATGAACAAGGATTATTAAAGAACAAAGATTATTAAAGATCAAAGATTATTAATGAACAAAGATTATTAATGAGCAAAGATTATTAAAAAACAAAGATGATTAAAGAACAAAGATTATTAATGAACAAAGATTATTAAAGAACAAAGATTATTAAAGATCAAAGATTATTAATGAACAAAGATTATTAAAGATCAAAGATTATTAATGAACAAAGGTTATTAAAGAACAAAGGTTATTAAAGAACAAAGATTATTAAAGAACAAAGATTATTAATGAACAAAGATTATTAAAAAACAAAGATTATTAAAGAACATAGATAATTAAAGGTGACTCAAAAGCAAATGTTTCATTATTTGTTTCTCTAGTTTTAACAAACAGTCGTCAGCATAAAGCAGCACTTCTGCTCTGGACTGCAGGAACATCACACTGAAGCTGTTCCAGATAATGACCTCACTTTAGAGGAACTGATGAGCTAATGGTTGGTCTGAACACAGCCTTTTTAAAAACTGCTCCCATTTTCACCGAACTTAATGACAATGTGTTTTTATTGACCTTTTTAACAGTCAGTGTTGCATTAAATTGTGATTCTAATCTCAGATTATTTGTGAGTGCATGTGTTAGCAGCAGCAGCTAGCTGTAGCACTTCTGGTGCCACTTTCTGCAGAAATATTCCAGTATTTTTGTGTTTAACAGTATAACATGTGGCAGACTGGCAGCGTTTAGCTCATCAGTCAGATTTTAGTTTTCTAAACTCATCAGAGTTATCCCCAACAGGTAAGATATTTACTGTGCAGAACGTTGAACACAGAGCCCTCAGTAGGAGTGCACATACGTGAGCAGTAGTGTATGTTACTGTGTGTGTTACTGTGTGTATAAACTGATTTACAGGTTCACTTGAACTGATTCTGAAGGATCTTATTTTTTAGCAGACCCCCCCAGGAAGCGAGTGGACTCACCCATGCTGAGCCGCCACGCCAAGCGGAGGCCGGAGAGGAAGTCCATGGAGGTTCTGACCGTCACAGAGGGGGGGTCTCCGGTGCCGGTCCGAAGAGCCATCGACATGGCCACCCACGGTCAGAGGTGAGGAGCTGCTGGTGCTGACCTGCATGTTTCTGTGAGCTGACCATAAATCATGTGTTTAAGCTCAGTTCAGACAAACAGCAGCTTTACCTCATCACCATAAAGTATTATGGGATGTGGGCTCTGCTTCACTGAGCTGCACCTAAATACATCACAGGATGGAAAGTTCTGCCTCAGACTCTGGGTTTTAGTTCTGCTCCAACGTGTTTCCAGCTGCATCTGTGCAGAAACAGGCCTCAGGCCGTCAGGTGGTGTGCATGAAGCATGCTGTGCAGAAGGACAGGGTCCTTCCTGGTTCCGAAAACACTTCCTGTAGGAGGACAGAGTCCTTCCTGGGTCCTTAAACACTTCCTGTAGGAGGACAGGGTC